CTTTATGTTAATTAAAAGGCAAGTTTAGTATAGCATTAATAGCCTTGATGCCATAATTGTGATCATTTTGTTTTAAAATAGGAAAAAGACTTGTATGCAAGGCTCCCACAAAATCTAACAGCCCCGGGCCCACAGGAGTGTTAATCCGGCCCTGCACGTGACTTCATGAAAAGTCTTTGTAGGATCATGTCTATGTTTTCTAGTTATAAACCACCTTAGCTACAGCTTGTACCATAGTTCCATCTCTCTCTTCCCCCTTTGTTAATTACAAGTCACTTTATCAACTAACTAGGCTTCACAGTAACAGCACATTAGACTAACACACGCATCAGTGAAAAAAAATCTCGTTTTCAGATCACTTCACAACACTTTGCTAGGGCCCATATTTATTGTATCTGTGTATAAAAGAGGGAATCAGACTAAGAATTGTTTTTAAGCACAGCAACTACAATCATGATTTTTTAAAGTCTTGTCTTTCTTCCCATTTTATAGCCTTGAATTGCTAAAGAGGATGCTTTGTATTTTTTCCTTTAATCTCCCAGATTTCAGAGAGATTTTTCCCTACTAAGGTTTCGTTACTTAAAACCTCTTTAACATCCATACTGTGAGAACAAACTGATAAGCAAATAAGCCATAGCCATATTTACAACCAACACCACCTTCTGATATACTGAACTTCCACAAGTCAATTGAAGCATTTCAGCTTTAACCAGGCAGTACTCCTCCATCAGGGTTTGCAGCCTGCAGTAAATGGAATTTTTATTCCTAAATCAATCAGGTGTTTGAGGGTTTGTCTACACTTAACTGAATTAATTTTCAAGGTAGGATGTGAGTTTGAAGAGCAATAGCTATTCCTGAGTGCCTTGTTCAGGTTTTGCTTAATCCACTTTTGAATTAAGCTAAACCAGGAGGTACTCAATTCCATAATAAGAGTGTCCATACATGGAATTATTCCAGAAAAATCGCATGTATAGACAATTCCTAAATATCGTTCTAGAAGCCTCAGTTTGGGGGCTCCTATATTTGAAATATTTAGCCTGGATGTATAAACACGCTCACAATATCTTTGTTAAATGTTTTGAAAGTCTAAATTAAGTTTTATTGTTAACACTGACACAAGTTTGTTTTGAAGTGACTAAGATTTTATGCCACTAAGAAAAGTTTCATAAAGATACAATTTTAGAACCTGATACTCCAGATGCTTCTCCCATTGTATTATATGATTAAAGTTACATAGTTACTTAAGTGGTTTTGCAGAATCAGGATTATAATTTTCAATATTGTGTTTTGTTTTCTCAACATAAGTTTAATAAAATTCAAATAAGATCCTTCTAAGTAGAGGCATTTTTAAAAACCAAGCATCTTAGTTTGTTATAAATTTTAATCTAAAAATCACAATAGCACAAGTTTTCAAATTTCAATTTTAAAAAACCCAAATGATTAAAATAATGGGTCTAAATTACTCCCACTCTGTTTAATGTTTTAATATTTAGATTAGCCAACTGGTATTCTCTTTACCTGTTTTGAACTCTACAGAATTTATATTTTGTTTTCAAATACAGTTAACATCTATGATGTATAACTGCATACGCAAAGAAATCAACATATTATGTCAAGAGAGACTAGCGAGTGAGGTAATATCTTTTATTGGACAAGCTTCTCTTGGTGAAAGACACGCTTTCACGCTATACAGAGCTCTTCAGGTCTGTGTAGCTTGAAAGCTGGTCTCTTTAACCCATCTTGTGTCTCTAATATCCTGGGACCAATACAGCAACAACAACAACACTGCAGTATTACATCAAAAAGCATTTACCTTGATTGTTCAGTTTAAATCATTATTCAGCATCTGCAAATGAGGAGACATTAATTTGCAACATGTGTAATCAATTTGTTTTTGCCAATTTTGCTTTAAGAGTAGCTAAGCATATAACAGTAACTCGTAATATATCAAGAGATTGTAAATGCACATTTACTCTGATGGTTCATATAACATCACCAACACACAGCATACCAATTGGTTTAAGGATGGATAGAGAAAGATAAACAAATCCGTTTTTCTATAACAGTTTTGTAAATATATAATACAAGATTCATTGTCATTCCCCTCTCAAAAAGGCAGCCCCCAAACAAGAAAACCTACCATGAAAAGCCATACACACAAGAAACAGCAACCCCACTACTACGCTTTCATAATCTATCTCAAGACTCTTTTCTCAAGCCTCTTCTCCACCTTTAAAATTAATCTAGAGTAAATAACAGGAATGACGTGGGAAAAGATTAGATCATTAAATTCCAAACCCCTGCAGAATAGTCCCCAGAAAAACGTCACATCAAATACTGAATTTATACCACATTTGATTTTGACTACAAAACCAAAAAAAGTCATTTAAAATGTCCCCCACCCCAAACACACAGTTTTGTGACTCTCAGAAACCGTTTTTCTAGGTTTGTCCTCAACCATCACTAAAATCTTGGGAAAAGCGACAAAGTCCTGTGACACCTTATAGACTAACAGATGTATTGGAGCATGAGCTTTCGTGGGTGATGCATCTGACGAAGTGCGTATTCACCCACAAAAGCTTGTGCATCCAATACATCTATAACGTGCCACAGGACTCTGTTGCTTTTTACAGATCCAGACTAACACAGCTACCCCTCTGATACTTAAAATCTTGGGGGAAACCTTGTCTGTATTTTTAATAAAATGTAACATCTGTGCAACAACTGAATCTTTAGATTGTGATAAATTGCATCTTTATGCTGTTAAGTGGATGCTTTAATATATACAGTACCTCAGGAGCTCTTCATTTAAAGTGTCTTGGCTTGAACATTTAAATTCACAGTCTTGATACTGAATTACGGGTTTTACATTTAGTTATTTATTTACAAATTAGTCAAACATTTTCATTTGCTGGCAGACTGGAGAATGCAACATCATAGCAAAAGCACTATAGAAAATACACAGTATATGCCAAATCCTGTAGTTCCCAGGCCCTTCTTTAGTCTGGCTACTGCACCATTGAAGGTAGCTGGGCTTTTCTAAAGTTTATTAAAACAAAACAAAAAACAAATAGGGAGCCAGGAAAACCACCAATTAGCTTTCCTTTTTAAGTGCAAATGAACTTGAGAAGCAGCCCAGCTGCTTTATAGATACTGAAGCCAGGATGAAAGATATCTAATAAAATTCACTGCTTGAGAAATTCTAGTACAGGGGTGGCCAACCTGAGCCTGAGAAGGAGCCAGAATTTACCAATGTACATTGCCAAAGAGCCACAGTAATATGTCAACAGCCCTCCATCAGCTCCCCCCGCCCCCAGTGACTCCTGCCCACCAGCAGCCCCACCAATCTGCATAGGGTGACCAGATGTCCCGATTTTATAGGGACAGTCCCAATTTTTCTTATATAGGTTCCTATTACCTCCCAGCCCCGTCCTGATTTTTCACACTTGCTGTCTGGTCACCCTAAATCAGCGCCTCCGCCTCCCCCTCAGCTGTTTTGAGGGTGCAGGAGGCTCTGGGGGAGAGGGCATAGCAGGCTCAGGGGTGGGAAGGGGTGGAGTAGGGACCTGTGGCAGAGCCAGGGGTTCAGCAGTGAGCACCCCCCAGCACACTGGATAGTTGGCGCCTGTAGCTCCAGCCCTGGAGTCGGTGCCTATACGAGGAGCTGCATATTAACTTCTGAAGAGCCGCATGTGGCTCTGGAGTCATAGGTTGGCCACCCCTGTTCTAGTAGTTGAATATATGAAACCTAATCCACACAAAAGTAAAAGTGTCTTTGTGACCAGTTTATGACCTTTCTCTGCTTCTTCTCTTGGTACACATGAGAGCTGGTGCCCACTTTTCATCAAATTATGGCTGATAAGTATGCATTTTTGTACAGCATCTAGCATAATAGTTCATCAAATTTTGTTTGGGGACTACAGATATGGCTACAATACAGATAAATAATATTTGTCTCCACACCTACCATGCTGCCTAATCATGTTCATATCAGTGCATTCTAACTGAAAAAGAGAGCAGCTATCCCATACCGTCCCTGCAGAGAATAGAATTCAGGGAGGGTGTGTATATAGAGCACCATCAGCACATGAAACAATGCACTATGGGATGTCCAACCACACAGCTGATTACATAGGCCCTCTAATCATGTGGCCAGAAAATAAGGCTGCTGGAAGATTTTAATCATTATTTAAATAGGCAAGCAGGAAAACAATTTAAACAGATTTTAATCTTGTTTTCAATTGTACTTTTTAGGGTTTTCTTTCCTAAAGAAAAGGTTGATTCTCATTAGCTGGTAACCATTAAAACATGTTGATTTGCAGCTAAATATATCCTTTACACTAAAACAGGTACTTTTTGATAACCAGGACAATACACTATCTGTACACATTTAAGTAATTGTTGGTTTCAGAGTGGTAGCCATGTTAGTCTGTATCAGCAAAAAAAAACAACCGAGGACTACTCGTGGGTTCCTGGATTAGTGTTTTTGTTGTGTGGTTGCTGATGAGTATTTGCTTCAGGTTGGTGGGCTGTCTGTAAGCGAGGACTGGCCTGTCTCTCAAGACCTGAGAGAGTGAGGGATAGTCCTTCAGGAACCTATCCTTGCAACAAAGCCCATTGCCAACTCTGTCCACATATCTATTCAGCAGGCTCCCCAGGCTGCAGGAGTCAGACAGCGCTGGGAGCCAGCTAGCCTGGGAGTTTAGAAGCTCTGGAATCCCAGGCCCCCTAGGTCCTGGGGCAGCCCATATGGCAACGGTTTTAATCTTCTCAATGATTTTTTTTCCCCCAGAATCTCCAGGTCACAAGAAACTTCAAAATGTTGACATTTCCCAGGAACCTGGAATTCCAAATTTTGGGCAGCTCTAATTATTATAACTCTTTCCCCTATTATGTTCTCTAACCCTTCTACTATGAACTATTTTTCTAATTGGAAATACCTTATTAGCCTCCCCAGCCCTTTATTTTTATTTTAAATAAATGATACTTATAACCATAATCCATGATGCTTATAGCCACAGCCCAACAGCAATAAGCTATCCCGGGAATAGATTCTTGGCTATTGGTACACTAAGAGTACTTTCAGCTTCATGCCTCTCAACCAAGACTTTAAAATATCCTCCTGCATATTAGTGATGAATGAAGTTGGAAAACGGACACAATTTCCCCAAACTCCATCTTTCATATCATGATATGGATAGTAGGTACCAGGTACATTTTTCAAGCCTTGCTGCAGAATCCATTAGAGACATGCACCTATAGTCTACTAATACACTGCAATGACAATGTTATATGAAGAATAGAATTTTCAAATGAACGGAAAAACAATGATTTAATATGTCTGTAACTCCATAAAGCTAATATAGTGGACCTGAAGCAATTCAAAATTCCAGTAAGACAGATTTTAATAATGTCAGTGAAAGAGCATCAATACAATTCCAAATGTTCTCAGTGCACAAGTCCCTCTATATTTCCCAAGCAACTATGGCACAAACTAGAATGCTTTTTAAAGGGCTTTACAAATGAAGCAGTACTACAGTAAGATTTTTTTTTTAAGCAATCATGATCTTCCTGTAGAAATAGGCAAGGAATCTATATACAGAACTAGAACATAATTACATTTGATTAAATAAAACCTTTGTCTGCCCCTTTTAGCAAGTCAGCTATACAAAAACATGAACAGGAAAAATTAAAGCCACAAGTTCCCCTTAAAATATGTGTGGAAGTTATACTACAGAAAAATAAAGATGGTATGCAGGTGTTGAAGAATTAAAAGATTTGGGTGGCTAAAACAGCTTTTTAGAGAAGTGTTTGGTTTTGCTTTTCATTTATAACAAGCTGGACAGCAAATATGTTCTAATTACAGGTAATGGTATAGTATCCAGGTTAAGTCAAACAGTTATTTAGAGCCATCATATTCAAGACTGCATCCGACGATTGTCTTTACCAAGCCCCATTACACTAAATTTTTTTTAAAATGTTTATTTTCAAAATTATAAAACCTTTCCAAATGGCAAACACTCAAAGAGCATTCTTCCTGAAGCGTTCATGTTTTTCTGCCAAATCTCATTTAAATGGAACTTCAGAATTCATGCATATGTAAATTTTTAATATATCCGTACATGTTATTACAATATTAGTTTGAAACATGTTATTCATGATCTATTGTGTAAAGCTTCATACATGGTAAGATAGTCAATAGTTTAAAGAGACACTGACAACTTAAAATAATTTTGTCTGAAAAAAATTACCTACTACTGTTATACCACATAAAACTTAAATTTGAGGATGGGAAATGCCGTTGGGTACGTCTTCACTTACCGGAGGGTCCGGCGGCAGGCAATCGATGTTCTGGGATCGATCCCGGAAGTGCTCGCCGTCGACGCCGGTACTCCAGCTCGCCGAGAGGAGTATGCGGCATCGACAGGGGAGCCTTCCTGCCGCGTCTGGACCCGCGGTAAGTTCGGACTAAGGTACTTCGAATTCAGCTACGTTATTAACGTAGCTGAATTTGCGTACCTTAGTCCGAAGTGGGGGCTTAGTGGGGACCAGGCCTTTGACAACACTTTGTCTAGTCTATTTCCATGTTAAATCAAAGTATATTTCCTGTGTTTGGGAGACAGGGTTACATTCAGACAACAACAGAAGAGAGAAAAGACATTTTTTAAAAAAATACAAAATTAACTCTGAAAGCACAAAAATTGCCTAAGCCCCCCCCGCCCGGATCAGTAGGTATCTGGAACTCCTTTCAGGTTTTTGTTTTGTTTTTGAGTAAGCGCAAAAGCTTGTTTCTCTCACTAACAGAAGTTGGTCCAACAAAAGATATTACTTCACCCACCTTGCCTTTCTCTGTATTAAATTAATGATCCTTTAGCACTGAACACTTAGCATTTAGTTTATTTGCATAGCTCTTGAAGTATTACTGCACTTATATGTCCTTAATGTGGCAGATCTGTATGTTCCCATCAGATTGAGGAGAGGTGAAGGAATGATTTAACCCATTATCTTACTGAGCTCAATCCAAGTTTTATGCTTTTAGAAGTAACTGTCTTACACTTCAGCCAATTACGTGCTTATAATTTTAAGCAAAGTAAGTATTGCACTGTTTAAATGGCTGCTCTAAAAGTCAGTTTGCATTTCAAAGCAAAAGATTGCAAGAAGCTCAGAGGTAAAGAGGCACACCAAGAAAAATCTGCAAGGAAAAGTTGAAATGTTAAATAGTTAACACTTTACATGCATTTAAAGTGGCTGAGCTAAGAGCCATTTTGTCTCACAATTTTCAAGTATGTTTAAAGGAAACTGAAGCACAGAAAGGTTTAGCAACTTGTTTGAGGTTCCATAGGAAGTCCACATCACAAATGCCAATAGAAACTAGCTATCTTCACTCTTAGGCTAAGTCTACAATAGCACTTTTGTTCGTAAAACTTTTGTTGGTCAGGAGTGTGAACCTCCCTCCCCCGAACGACGTAAGTTTCACCCACAAAAGTGCTGGTGCAGACAGCATTATGTCAGCAGGAGAGACTCTCCTGCAGACATGGCTACTGCCACTTGTTGGGGGTGGTTTAATATGCTGGCAGGAAAGCTCTCTCTCACTGGCATAGAGCGGCTACACGGGAGATTTTACAGCTGTGCCTCTGTAAGGTCTATAGAAGCCTTGGTGCAGTGTTTAAGCTTCAAAAACAGACTCCAATGAGAAACTGTTGAGCTGGAATTGATATGCAAACTAGATACAATCAATTTAGGTTTGAATAAAGCCTGGGAATGGCTGAGCCATTACAAACATTGAATCTATCTCCCCATGTAAGTATTCTCACACTTCCTATAAAACTGTCTGTACTGGGCTATCTTGATTATCACTTCAAAAGTTTTTTTCCTCTTACTTAATTGACCTCTCAGAGTTGGTAAGACAACTCCCACCTGTTCATGCTCTCTGTATGTGTATATATATCTCCTCAATATATATTCCATTCTATGCATCCGAAGAAGTGGGCTGTAGCCCACGAAAGCTTATGCTCAAATAAATTTGTTAGTCTCTAAGGTGCCACAAGTACTCCTGTTTTTTGTTTTAACCTCAAGACTGTCCTTTCCCTCAATAAATGATCCTCACTGAAGAACTGTAGCATGGCATAATATAATAGATTCTTCTGCCGTTTATCTCTGAGAGTTGTGGTACATCAAATCCCTTTTGGAATTTAGCAGTCCTCTGCATACCACAAGCCGGAAGGCTCTTCAACCATTAGGTTCTATGGACTCTAGATACCAGTAGATTCCAAATAAACACACACAATTCCAGTAAGTAAAGGAGTATTCCTAACACGTAGGTAGCAAGTAAGTTCTGCAAATATGCTAGGCTCAAGCCTTAGGCTGGTCTACACTTAAAATTTAGGTCAACCTAGCTACGTCGGTCAGAAGTGTGAAAAATCGAAACCCCGACCAACATGGCTATGCCATCCTAACACTCAGGCCTTGGCTACACTGGTGCTGTACAGCGCTGCAACTTGCTGCGCTCAGGGGTGTGAAAACGCCCCCCCTGAGCGCAGCGAGTACAGCGCTGTAAAGCACCAGTGTGATCAGAGCCTGCAGCGCTGCACACTCGCTCGCAGCGCTGCAAGCTATTCCCCTCGGAGAGGTGGAGTACTTACAGCGCTGCAAAAGAGCTCTCGCAGCACTGGCGGCGCGACTACACTTGCGCTTCACAGCGCTGCCGTGGCAGCTCTGGGAATTCCTGAGTGTAGCCAAGGCCTTAATGTAGATGCAGCTATGTTGACAAAAGAGTGCTTCCAGCAGTCTAGTTTACTGTCAATCAGGGAGATGGTGTTCCTACAAAAAATTCCTTCAGTTGGTGTGAACTGCATCTATGCTACGGGGTTATGCCGGCATAGCTGCAGTGCCGTAGTTATGCCTGTACAGTCCCCATTGTGTACACATACCCTGAGAGGTTAGTTACAAAAGAAAATTTCCAAATGCTCCCTTATGAATACTGCAAAAAGTTGATACAAAGCTTATCCTTCAGGACTCCCAGTCCCCTGTATGTCCACTCCTCTCTTTAAAGAAGATACAGTTTTAGGACTAGTCTACAAAGTTGCACAAGTTTAACTAAAGGTATTACTTTAAACCGATTTAGTTAAAACTTGTACAAAAGACTTTGTGGACACTTAGGGCTTGTCTACACTTAAAAACTATAAGCCACACCCTACTAGAATGACTCCTTGTGTGGGTACACATTCCAGATTAAGAGCGTCCTCACAGAATTGTTCAGGAATAACTATTCCCAAATAGCTCCATGTGTAGGTAAGCCCTTATTTCAGTTTAAATCAGGCTTAATGCAGTTTCTTATATCAGTTAGGAACAGGTTTAAGGTAACAAACAACAGCATTCACATAGATTTTTTAACTAACTTGATTTAATTAAACCAGTGCAAGATAGTTTGCAGACAATGCTATAGGCCCTTGGTCTCAAATTTAATCTAGCTCCATCCCTGGGTGCAATTCACTAGTCAGGTTGCCCTTCTGCATTGTTTCCCTGTCGCTTTGCTGTACTGATAGTTCACATCTGCTGGACAGCTTATCACGTGTGACAGGCTACCTGAGCCTCTCCTATGGCAACTCTATTGTGATTTCTTCTCTGTATTGTTCCCTGCTCTTAGATGATTATGACCCAGCTACCCAGCCCACTTGTTCCTACAGCACTAGCTCTGTTGGTTACAATTACTTTTCAGGGCTCACCTGGGCATCTCCCATTCCATGTGGATGTGCATAACCTCCTGACTGGGATGTTTTACCTTCCTCAGCCCTACCATACAACAGTTTCTTCTAGGACAACTTCATCTGACCCCAGATCTCCCAAGCTCTATCTACAGCCATTAATGAGACCTGCTACCTAGTGGTCCCTTTGCAGTCCACTTCTCAGCAGCTGTCTCCACCCTGCTGTTGCTGCCACCCACACATCACCTGATTCTCTCTTGCCCTGGGATGTCATTTCCTTTTCCTAGTAACTCTGGCTAACACAGTGCTCTCTGTCAACTAGATCGGCATTTCTCAAATTTAATTGCACTGTGACCCCCTTCTGACAACAAAATTACTACAGACCCCCATGCACTGTGTTGCTCTAGAATTAGGGCTGGTGTTAGGAGGTGGCAAGCAGGGCAATTGCCCAGGGCCTCACGACGCTAAGATGCTCAGGCTTCTGCTTCAGCCCCGGAACACAGTGCGTCTAACATCGGCCCTGGCAACCCCATTAAGACAAACTCATGACCCACTTTGGAGTCGGGATCTACAGTTTGAGAACCGCTGCACTAGATAGTGGGAGGAGCAAGGATGCAGAGCAGCAATGATCTGTAGACCAATCCTGATCATAGTTGAGTGAACGGTTTACCCAATAACAAGCCAATGGTAGCTTACTACAGTGTTTAGTTAATGAAACTCTAGAGCAAACTGAACTTCAGTAGAAACTGATGCATATAGCAACTTTTGGTATACTAAACATCCTGTCTCTCTCTAGTGGCAACAAACAGCATTTATGGGATCACCTGATGGACCTAAATTACAATAAATGCAGAGTTCGCACTGGTCATGACTACATTCTGCACATCAATTGTGAAGATGAGGGTTCACAGGTCAAAGTGAAAGTTATTTGCTCAACCATACACATATCCTAACCACTTTTAGTACATATCGCAAGACCTACCTATTAGCTAAAGCTTTCCTTTTATAAAAAAAAAGTATTTTAAAAAGCAAACAGAACTCCATAGGAACTGGGAAGGGTGAAGACCAATTTATCTGTGAAGCCAACATAGATAATTAAATGTAAATCTACTTTACCTATTATACAGTTAGATGCTACAGTGATGGGTGCTATATGAATCCTGTGAGCAACTCCCTCTCCAGTGCTTGCCTCTACAGCTGCTCAGAGGTTTCTGAATCAGCAATAGTATGAAAGTGACATCATTTAAATATGAAACCAAAGTGGATGCTGGCAGATTCAGTACTTGACACTGGATTTTGAACAGCAGTGAAATTGTTATTGGGGTTTTAAGTGTATGCAGAGTCAGAAAGATGACACTACATTCTTACATTTGGAAAGGGATTTTTTAAATGAAAGCTTATAATTCACCAAAAATTGAAGCTGTATGTCCCAGTCTAGCTAGGGAGCGTCACGCTTGCCTGTAGCATGTAAGCTACTGGAATTTCCCATCTCGGTAATTACCTACTTTAAGATCAGCCTTATTAGACTTGCCCTTACAGTTACTTGGGGGAAAGTAGCTTTTCAAACCACACTGCTTAGGGACCAAAGCCTGTCTTCCTTCTCAGCCAGACGACAGGAATATCCCTTCGAAAGGTGCTAAGAGTCAAGGAACACACCCCGCAGAAACCGAGCGAGCCTGTGACAGGCTGATGATTTCAACCAAGCGCCCTGGAGATAAAGGGATCTGTCCCACAGTCACGCGATCTCTAATCACGCCACATTTCATTACAGCTCAGAAGTAGTTTGAGCAGCAGCTTGATTCTCGGTCCCCATCTTGAATTTGTTTCCACGACCTGTGCGCACAGCCAGCGCCCCCCGGACCCCCGCAGGGCCCTTCAGCCCGGCAAAACCGCGCGCGGGGCCGCGGCCACAAGCCAGACCCGGAAACCCGGGGAGAGCAAGTGAGATATGGCGGGGGGGCGACTCCCTCCTCCCAGCCCAGCCCAGCCCCCCAGGCAGGCCGCGAGCGCAGACACCGCCCCGCCGCCCGACAGCCCCGCGGCGCAGGGAGGCAGCGACTGGCGCAGGCACCCCCGGCCCTCAGCGCCCGGGGCCACGAGCGAACCCAGCTGGGGGGGAGGGAGGGGGAAGGGAGAGACTGCCGGGCCGCCCCGCGCGGTCACCTCCCGGCCCCGGCTCGAGACGAGGCTCCGCGCGCTGCTACCTGCCGGGGGAGGCTCCGCTGCTGTCGGAGCCGGGGCTGCGCAGCTCCCGTCCCGCCGCTGCAGCCACCAGCTGGTAGGGGAGATAGAAACAACATGGCGGCGGGGGAGGCGGTGCCTCTAGGTCATGTGACCCGGGCCGGCCGCAGACCCCGCCCCCCCCCGCTCACTCCCCGCCCGCCGGGGCTGGGGCGCTGCTGTGGGAGGGGCCCGCGCGCCACTCTGGCAGGAGGCCCCGCCCCCAAACTGCGGTAATTGGTGCCCTCCTGACGGCGCCCCACTCCCCCAGATCCACCGCAGCCTCAGTCCGCCGGGCCCGGCAGGTTCCCAGCCATGTCCCGTGTGATGCCCCCGGGAAAGGAAGCGCTTGTTCCCCCCTCACACCTACCACCCCGTTCCCCCCCTGCACACCGCTCGCTACTAGCTCCTCTTCCCCACACCAGCCCGAGCTGCCCCCTGCCCCCTCCCCACATACACACTCCCTCCCCTAATGGGCACCACTGTGTCCCTTCATCCCCATGCACACACTCCTACCCCCCCCCACACTCGCACAGCAGCCTCTGCCCTCTCACTGCAATTCAGGCTGTCCTTGGAGGATGCCAGAACTGCTCCATTTTCCAAGGTCTTGTTCCCTGCTTTTGGAGGCTGCAGCACCAGCAAGGCTAGGGGGACCAGATGTCCCGATTTTGGGGTCTTTTTCTTATATAGGCTCCTATTAGCCCCCACCCCCATCCCGATTTTTCACACTTGCTGTCTGGTCACCCTAAGCAAGGCTAAGGCCATAGCAGAGCGCAGCAGCTGCATGGAGCCTCCAGATCAGTCCATGAGAAGCAGTCATGCAGGCCACTGAAGGAGGGGAAGATCCTATCCTGACTACTGGACCACATGGGTCACGAGTAATGGGGAGGCATCCCAGTCACACTGTCCCCGATTGCTTTACTTTTACAACTGTTTGCCTTTGTGCAGACTCTTGTTCTCCCAATAGCCCTGATCTTTTTCATGAGGATGATACAGCGCTTTTATGCTATGTCTTTTGCTCTGTGTCTGTTGTCAGATCATTTACTATACTTGAATCACTTCAATAAATGTTTTTTCTAAAATAAAAAGATTTGCAGACTTTTATCTTTGTTGAGGAAAAAAACATTGAGTCATCAGCAACCCAAACGCAGCAGCCTGGCACTCAGATTAAAATACTTATTTCCCCTGTGCTCAATTGCTAATTCAGGATGAAATGGGCTCACCTTCACTCTAGTCTTGAAGTCTGGCTGTGTGGGCACCCCAGAATTGTATCATCAGGGTTTCAGGCCACAGGTCTTTCCCCCAGCTTCTTATTTTGTTATCCTGTCTTCCTCACACCCCACTGTGCTCAGCTTGTCTCATCCACCCAGTGTCTTGTTTTAGACTGTAATCGCTTTAGGACAGGGACTGTTATTTGTATCACACAAAAGGCATTGACCTGTTTGGCCTCTAACAGCAGCACTCTCCATAGCATGACACCCTCCACCCCCCTTCCCCCATGATGCTAATGAGAGGTCAGACTTTTGAATATGTTACACATCTACCTTCAAAAACGTTAGACCACTAGGGCTGCATTGTGCTGGAGAAAAAAAAAAGGGGGGGGGGAGACTCCTGTCTCAAAGAGCCTGTAGTCTAATTTTAGGCAAGATATAACAACTGGGTTTACCATGCAATATAGTTGTCATGCACAACTCCCATGCAAACAGTTGTAGCCAGCATGATTTTGTACTCAAAGGTGAACAGGGCCATTGTTAGGGGGCTGGTCAGGAATTTTATAAAGGCAATTCAGAATTTTTTTGGGCTACAGTAAATTGGGTTGCTAAACATTCTTAGTTGCCACAAAGGCTGAATACCATATTCTTGCTTTAAGCACTTGTATCTCACAAACCATATCCCTGCTTAACATTTCCTTACTAACTTTTTCAAAAAAGAAGATACTCTGACAGACCTGCCCAGAAGTTACCAATCAACTCCCGCAGAGTGTAAAAACTAAAGATCATGGACTAACTCAGGGGTAGGCAACCTTTCAGAAGTGGTGTGCCGAGTCTTCATTTATTCACTTTAATTTAAGGTTTCACATGCCAGTAATACATTTTAATGTTTTTTAGAAGGTCTCTCTCTATAAGTCGATATTATATTACTAAACTATTGTTGTATGTAAAGTAAA